CTTAGAAAGTGGAAACCAATACCAATAGCTTAAATTTACAGAAAATTTGGATGGGACCGGGCACACTGATATTCAGGTACAGAAATTGGTTAAGTAAGCTGAAGAAAAATATACCGTATTGCTTTCAAAAGAATAGAACCAAACAGGTATACCTCGGAAAAGTGATGAGATAAAATACCTCTTGAAATTAAAACGCTCTTTAAAAAGGAAATTTAGTCAGGAAAAACGTGTGGGCATGAGGAGACAGTGACCTTATTAGGGGAAAGGATAAGAATTGTGAACAACAGGATTGGGGGTCAAGAAAGGAAGGAAAATTGCCATGTGTTCAATAAACGGATAGATGAGTTAATGAGTGAGGGAGGTGTAAACTCTGGAATGTTCTGGAAGATAAGGAAAAAGTTACTACCAGAAAAAAAATCAAAGCATTCGGAATAGGTACAAACGAAAGTACGGTAGACATGGCAGTAAACAGGGAACAAATAAAGAATGCGTATGTTGACTACTTTAAAAACCTTCTCAGTAGAGAAACTGTTGCTGAAGGAAAAAAAAGCCTTACTATGAACAGAGTTGAATCCATGTTCAAGAAGATAAAATACCTTAATCAACAAATTCTGGAAAAAGAGACTGACAATAAGGAAGTGGAGGAAGTAATAAAATCTCTAAAACATAAAAAAGCTATAAACAGACAAGGAATTGCCTATGAAGTAATAATTAACGCTGGCAGTGACCTAAAAAACAAACAAAAAAAGACCTTCTCTCTTCTCGCCTTCCTCCTCCTCCCCCACCTTCTCCCCTTCCTCCTCCACCAGCTTCTCCCTTCTTCCCTTCCTCATTCTCCACCAGCTTCTCCCCCTCCTCCTTCTCCCTTCTCCCCTTCCTCATACTTCACTAGCTTCTCCATACTCCACCTACTAGTACTACTCTAAACTTCCTCCTCCCTCCCCCCTCCCCCTCCCTACACTGTTCCTTCGCTACCCTGTACCAGAACTACGAGAGTGCTGACGATGTTCCACTGATATGTCCGAAACGCCAATAGACCGCGTAGCGCCATCTGGCGGTGGCGTTTGCAAGTTAATTTACGATGCTAAACCTGATGTTTACCGTTTACCGTGACAGTGTTCTATTGTCTCTGGTGTATGCGCAGAAGAAACTCGGAAACTCAAAAACTCAAAAAGTCGGATGTCGTTTCAGGGCTTCCATAGTCTGACGTTGGGCCAACGTTGGCTGTCTGACGTTGGGCCAACGTTGTCAATATGACGTTGCGCCAACGTTGGCACGCTGAGCAAAAAGCCGCTGGGCCAACGTTGTCGATATGACGTTAGACCAACGTTGGCAGGCTGAGCAAAAAGACGTTGGATCAACGTTGGCTGTCTGACGTTGGGCCAACGTTGTCAATATGACGTTGGGCCAACGTTGGCACGCTGAGCAAAAAGCCGTTGGGCCAACGTTGTCAATATGACGTTGGAGACAGCCAACGTTGATCCAACGTCTTTTTGCTCAGCGTGCCAACGTTGGTGACGTTAGGCCAACGTTGGCACGCTGAGCAATAAGACGTTGGATCAACGTTGGCTGTCTGACGTTAGGCCAACGTTGGCACGCTGAGCAATAAGACGTTGGATCAACGTTGGCTGTCTGACGTTGGGCCAACGTTGGCAATATGACGTTGGGCCAACGTTGGCTGACTGCCGTTGGCCCACCGTTGGGCCCAACTATGGCACGCTGAGCAAAAAGACGTTGAATCAACGTTGGCTGTCTGACGTTGGGCCAACGTTGGCAATATGACGTTGGGCCAACGTTGGCTGACTGCCGTTGG